ATTATGCTATAGCTATAGTAAGGAACCCCCAAAACAGTGTAGGTAAGTACTAAGGCCCCTACAGTACAAGATCTTCCGGCCGAGGGCGGTGAGGTTAGGGAGGCTCAGGTGCGGAAGGTCGGCTATCCAGGTTCTAGACTTCTGGGGCTGTGTTGCACTCCACTCTTCGACGACCACGAATCAGAAGCCGCTCGAAACGCGCTTTACTGGAAGCAGAAAGGCTTTTCGAACAAATGCACCTCAGATGCTAGCCCGACAGCCGCATAAACGCCATCCGCACTCCCGCGGCTCTTGAAAAAGCCTCTACTCTGCATCCCTCGCCAAATCCAAGCCCCTGACTACAGCTGCTACAGCTTCAAGCCCCTTGCTTCGGCTGCAGCCATAATGTTTGCCACCACTCCCGAGCTTGGCCATCCCAGCATCGCAGCCTGGCCTTTCCCTGAAGGGCCGCTGCCACAGCGGGGTTTGACAGCATGTGCACCATGTCCTGCGCTGCATTTTCGGTCCCACGGCTACGTCAGCTCTGTGCAGGTGCTGTTGCTGCGGCTTGCAGAACTATCCCCCGCTTCACACGCATCAAACAAGATGTCGACTTTTTGCACTTCGCACGATGTGTCGATTTCAAGAATGCGCTGGATGCAAAAGCTTCCAGCTCGTGAGCTACCGAACTGTTGTTCACACAAGTTCATAGCTTCATCATTTCACGATCAAGAATGACCGATCACACGCCCTTGCCCTTGCGGCCCTCACGGGGTCGGGCGCGTCTCTCCTGGTTTGTGCTTGGTGTTGGTGTGTGTGTGTGTGTGTGTACTTTGGTTCAAGAGTGCGTACTTTCATTGCATCTCACACGATTCACACAATCTCCCGACACAGCCTAGACAAGACTCTTGAGCGTCGCTTCGTAAATAGAACTGTCATGATCATCTACTACTACTACTACTACTACTACTACTACTACTACTACTACTACTACTACTACTACTACTACTACTACTACTACTACACTACTACTACTACTACTACTACTACTACTACTACTACTACTACTACTACTACTACTACTACTACTGCTACTGCTACTGCTACTGCTACTGCTACTGCTACTGCTACTGCTACTGCTACTGCTACTGCTACTGCTACTGCTACTTCTACTGCTACTGCTACTGCTACTGCTACTGCTACTGCTACTGCTGCTGCTACTGCTACTGCTACTGCTACTGCTACTGCTACTGCTACTGCTACTGCTACTGCTACTACTGCTACTACTGCTACTACTGCTACTACTGCTACTACTGCTACTACTGCTACTACTGACTACTGCTACTACTGCTACTACTGCTACTGCTACTACTCCTCCTCCTCCTACCACTGCCACTACCACGACCACTACCAGTACCATTACCTCTAGCACTCCCGCGACCTCTACCTCTACTACCACTACGTCTACCTCTACCTCTACCTCTACCACTACCACTGCCACTGCCACTGCCCACTACCACGAACGCTACCCCTACCACCACGACCACGACCACCACCACCATCACCACCATCACAACCATGACCGCGACTGCGACCGCGAGCGCGACCACGACCACTACCACTACCACTACCATTGCTACTACTACTACTACTACTACTACTACCACTACCCAACAACGATTACTACTGCGACGAGCACCACCACCGCTGCCACCGAACCAGTACTTCTAGTACTTCTACTACTACCAGTACTACTTGTACTGCTAGTACTGCGAGTACTGCTCGCGCGACTAGTACCTGCTATTACTACTGCTACTACTAATACTACCAATACCTCTCTCCCTACCAGTACGATGATTACGGCGCATACTATGCGTATTACGAGTATTGCTGTCAGTAGAAGAACTGCCAGTATTGCTGATAGCACTACTCCTTCTATACTGCTACCATAACGACGACGTCCTCGACCACAACCGCGACTGCTACTACTACAACTACTGCTTCTACTACTGCTGCTACTACTACTACTACCACATACGACCACAGGGGCGACGACGACGACGACGATTACTACTACTACTACTACTACTACTACTACTACTACTACTACTACTACTACTACTACTACTACTACTACTACTACTACTACGGTGACGACTGCGACGACGACGAAGACTGCGATGACCGACGACTGCGACGAATACGAATTCGAGTCCTATCTACCAGGGAGGACGACGATGCCGCCGGCGCCGATGACGAAAACAATCGTGACTATCACGATCGGCGTTATCAAAGGCTCAACGTGATTCTTGGCTGTCTTGGTGTTCAGGGTCTGAATCCTCTGAGCCCAAGTTGCGGCATTGAGCCTCCACCGCTGAAGCAGCTTTGCGATCTTCTGCTGCATCCTCTCCGCAGCATCGATCTGAGGGTCGATCTCAATGAAAGTACCCTGTAAAACGACCGATAGTCCGATAGTCTTAAGCAGAGGTTTCTGCCAATAAAGATGCTCTAAGATTCTTGAAGATCCAAGGGGGTACTTGGAGGAATTTCAACATGTTCTTTGAGCCTCATCGGGGTTTTAGACTCACCTTGACCAGCATGTCGTTGGTCATAGCTTACGACATGCAGAACCCGATGACAATCCCCACCTGCGTGCGTCCGCAAGGCTGCATCTGTGAACGCATGCTGAAGCACCTGTGCAACCTCGGTCTGTCTGAGTGGGGATACTGCTTATCTCCGGGCGAATCGAAATCTAAAACTAGGCTATGTCGCGAAAAGCCAAGGGGCAGAGCCAACTGTGTCTCCACTCGCTTCCCGCTTTGGCCGGCTTTTTCAAAGACTGCCGAGTATGTCGCCCGCAGCTTCTGCCAGACTTCCTCGGACTCTGAGTTCTTATAGCGGTTTTCTGGGGCTCTTTTGTATTTAGGCTATAAATGCTTATAAGGATTCAAGATGCTTTAAAGGGCCTTTATCAAGATTTCATATCTTTTTTGGCGAGGAGTTAACTTCCTCGTCTGGTTTGCTGTTTCAGGCTAGGGTTTGGGAGCATTTTCAGGTTGGCGTAGGATTCGGACAGCAGCGTCTCAACCCCAAAAGTGTTCCGAAACCTCAAGCCTGAAAAACGTTCTCTGGATCGCCAAGCTTCCTGGAGACGCTCTGCGCTGTGGGTGTTTGCAATGGACGTGAAGCGGTTTCTGCGGCCGCAGAAGTTATCGTGGTCAAGAGCATATGCAGAGTGTACCGAGCAATACAAAGACTGCCAAGCTTCGTAGCCTTTCCGCAAGCCTGCTTCCGAAACAACGAAGTGAGGCGTCCCGAGTCTTCTCCCCAGTAAGAAGTTGGCAGGGACAAAAGCCTGAAACCGAAATGCTGAGTCTAAAGTGAGATCCATCTCACGGGCTGCGAACTCAAGCGCGACTGCGTCACTGAAGCGCTTGAAACTGAGCTCTCGCACCTCGCAGCTTGCAAAGTCCTGCTTTTGGCACATGTCCCGTTGCCAGCGGCGCTGCACTGCCCCCAGAACTTCCAGTTGGTTGAGAGCTGTGGGAAAGTGAAGCGTCATTTTTGTGAAGAGCAGGAAAGGCCAGCAAGAGACGCGGGCATCATAGCGGACAGGCCCTCCATTGCTGCGATGGCTGCACACGTAGGGGGCGCCGGCTCCGGCCACTGCCACCACTGGTGCCGGTCCTCGCCGCGGTCGTGGTTGACCGCAGAGCCGTGCGGCGGGGTCGAGCGATGTGGGCTTCCTGGTGAGCACCCAGCGCTCGAGGGCCAAGCGCTGGCCCTCCGAGAAGCGCTGCAGCAGCTGCTTCCGGGTCGCGGGAGCCGCCCGCTGCAGCAGGCGCCAGAGCTGGGCCTCAAAACACCGGGAAGCCCGGGAAAGCCCTGCGAGCTGCCTGGAGCTGTGGGTCTTCTGACCCGGGGCCGGCGCCCCTTTGGAGACCCTGCGAATGGCGAAGGGCCTTCTCTTTCTGTCAAAGGGCCTCATCGCCGGACACCCTTCAATGATGATGGCTATGATGGCAATGATGGCAATGATGGCTATGGTGATGGTGATGATGATGGAAGTGGAAGTGGTGTCGCACGTCGGAGACGGAAAGTGCACGCATCTTCTCACTGAGGCACGCCGGATCCGTGAAGAGGTAGGCCATAGCGGACCTCGGCTCGTTTACACCAAGGTAAAACAGCAATACTGCGGCTCGGAGCAGTCGCAGGCTTAGGTTTACAGGTTTCAGGATTTCAGATAGGCCTGGCGTGCTGCGTAGTCATGTGCAGCTGATATGGAAACTGAGGTCCCACACATTTTTGATGAAGGGCTGAGCCCGGTGAACGCTGCGAGCGTCGTATGGGGGGTCTGTCAGGCTTGAGCAGGAAGGAGGCAGCGGGAGGAGCACGTTGCATTCCACTGCTGTATTTCTGCCGACATGCATTTCTCCTTCGTGGCTCCTTCGCTGCTGGTTCTTAGTAGAGAGCCTTCACTTGCAAACATGCCGCTGTGCTGCCGACCGGTATCAACCACGTTGCAAACTCGCACTTAGCAAGTATGGTATAGCACCTTCAGGGTTATAGGTGGTTACAAGTATCTAGCTACCCGAATACTACGCGCGCAACCCCTGAAATCGGCATCCCTCTCCTGCGAGCTGCCACAGGCCTGCATCAGCGCCTCTGCAACGGTTCGAAAATGTTGCAACGGTGTTCGGGGCAGATTTCCTCTGCTTAGATTTTGGGTTGTGGTAGCTTGTTGCGGTTACCTCACTTCTTGACTACAGCTGCCCTGAAATAGTAGCCCACGAAAGGTACTTCAGGTTCGGGTTTAGGCCGGGTTTGGGGATGTTCGGGGCTTGGGGATTTTGGGCGCTGCGGCTGAAGGAGAAGAGCCTTGGCGGTTCGAGGAAAACGTGTCATAGTTGGGAAGAGTCTCAGAGTATGAGTAACCCTCCTAGTGGCCCTCACAGTAGCCGATTAGTAACCACGGCCCTCCACCTTTGTTCTCTCCAAACTAGCTTTGGCACGCGAGCAGAAAGAAACGTTTCACTTCACCAGGGACGTCGTTCTGACAAGCCATGAGTAATATTCGCGTAGCTACAAGACCAGCTTCAAACAGCACTTCTACTTGGAGGATCCTGGGACTTAGTAAGTAAGGTTATAAGTACCTTAATTAGGCTATAAGTATAGTTAGCCTAATTATAACCCTAGTTACTAAGTCCTATGATCCTTTAAGTACAGACGACTGTGAGAACCACCATCATCCTTCTGGCTCATGTCCGACGAACCATTCAACATCCTAACGCCTGAAACACGAAGAGCACCAACACCAAGAGATGAGACCCCAAAAAGGTTTAGGGTTTAGGGTTTTAGGGTTTAGGGTTTAGATTCACTCCCATGCCCCCCTCCCCCCTCTCTCCTTCAGCGCATCCGGAACTGCGGGCGCGGGCGCATACCCGGCAGCTGCAGCCTCTCGACACTGGGATGTCAAGTTTCAAGGGTACTAGAAGGGGCACTTGGAGGATCATGGGACTTAGTAAGTAAGGTTATAAGTACCCTAATTGGGGTTATAAGTATAGTTACCCTAATTATAATCCTAGTTACTAAGTCCCATGATCCTTTAAGCAGGGCTTAAGAAGGAAGAGGCGCAGAGCCTGGGAGTTGAAGGCTTTTGAGGCTGTCGTTGAACCGATGATGTCGGAAGGGCTGTGTCCGCGTTGGAGAAAGCCGAACCGACCTTCGAACCTCGTACCCTTATTGGTCTTGAGTCATTGGTTTTGGAGTTTAAGGTTAGGGTTTGGGGGTTTGGAATTTGAAGGGTTCAGAGTCTTCGGTTATAGAGTTTCGGGGTCTGGAGCTACACGCCTCCAACCCCTACTATTGGGCCTACAGACGGGCTTCGCGACACGAATGCTTCCGGCCACGTAGTTGATGACAGTTCAATAGCACGGGAGGGGCAAGCAGGGGAAGTTGGCGTTAGCTGGTCGATTGGTAGACAAGAATCGCAACTGAGCAAGAGTGCTCACAACGCAAGAATACTAAGCAACATCTGCGACCATAAAGAAGTGAGAGATCAGGATTGCAAGCCTTTGATTGCTTGCCGTCCCCGGCCTGGCGGAATCTGAAGAAACAAAACTCAGCCTAAGCCCAAAAGTTATCCAAACCCAGCTGAGGGCTCGACTTTGGGAACGGCATCGGCACTGCTCCTGGCTGCCTCCAAAGCAACGACGCATGTTCTCGCCTCTTATGGGGGTTTCCGATAATAGGGGACCCAAATATAGTACCCAAAATAGTCGGATCCTTATTATATTATAAAGACCCCCAAACAAGGTACCCCAAATTTTCGGAAACAACCCTAGAAATTCTCCAGCGAATACTCGGTCGGCAGACTTTGGCAGATCAGGATTCATGACAGGGCATCTTTGGCAGGATTATGCTGCATTAGTCCCAGCTTCCTAGCAGTCGTAGCAGCAGTAGCAGTAGTAGCATTAATAAATTCAATTAGCGGTAATAGTACGGGCAGTAGTTGTAGTAGTAGTAGTAGTAGCAGCAGCAGCAGTAGTAGCAGGAGTAGCAGTAGCAGCAGTAGTAGCACTAGTAGCAGTAGTGGCGGTAGTCGCAGTAGGTACTAACACTAGCACAGCGCTCGCTCAAGCACGCACTCATACACTAAGTTGCGTACGTTGAGACACTGGTTGCGATGCTCACAAAGCGAGATTGAAATGGAGAACTACGAGGCAACAACACCCACAACAGCAGCCGACCAGCACGTGTACTTAAATCCTGGAATGCCTACCTTAAGTGTCGATTTGGCCTCCTTCGCGCGCTCTTCGCGTCTGGCCTTCAGGCACTTAAACTTTGAAAAGGCTTCTGCACAAGCAAAGGATTTCGGATCAGGACAACTTTGCGACGAAAACCAAAGTTCTGAGAAGCAACTCAACTCACATGTTACCATTCGCCGGTACTCACTGCAACAGCTGATGCTCACTGATTGAACTCTGACTGTTGCTGCTACTGTTAGACACAGGTGACACTGCAATCTCTGCTGTTGGCAGCACGATTCAATCATGTCTGCTGTTCGTGCTGTAAACTGTGACTGTTGGGACAACAGTTCCCACAACCACCACCACCACCTCCTCGACGACAATCACTGCTACTGCCGTCGCCACTCCTGCAGCAGCTGCTACTGCTACTCTACTGCTCCTGCTCATGCCACTGCTACTGCTACTGCTGCTGCCACTCACCACAAGTGCTTCTGCTACTGCTATTCCTACTCCTACTCCACTCGTCCTCCTCCTCCTCCTCCTCATTACTTCCAACCGCGACTACTGTTAGCACGACCACGACGAAGACACCTATTACTCCTTCTTCTGCTTCTACTACTACTGCAGCTCCTACTATCTTGATGCACTACGTCTCCATTTGGATTGAACTCACCCTATTCGCAGAAGCTTTCCTCTAGCTAACTGCTCCGTTACAAGCACCGTGAGCTGTCTGAAAGGTTTCTTACGCCCCTTGTGTATTACATACTGCTTGTGGTCAGCTGCCTGCTACTGCTGCAGCAACCACTATGACAACGACGAGTGCTACCACAACTGCTATCCCTGGTTCTACTTCTAACTTATAGTATTACTGCTTCTACTACTACTACTACTACTACTACTACTACTACTACTACTACTACTACTACTACTACCACGACGACGACGACGACGACGACTACTACTACTACTCCTGCTGCTGCTGCTACCACTACTACGACTACTACTACTACTACTACTACTACTACTACTACTACTACTACTACTACTACTACTACTACTACTACTACTACTACTGGCCGTCCAATCGCGATCGTGTGCCACAGCGCGCCGGCTGATCACCGCTCTGATCCACGCAATGCGACATCGGAGTGTCCGCAGCGAGTGCTCCTGCTCCTGCTCCTGCTCCTGCCCCCGCTCCTGCTCCTGCTCCTCCTACTCCTACTCCTACTGCTACTCCTACTACTACCACCACTACCACCACTACCACCACACCACCACCACCACAACCACCACCACCACTGCTTCCGCTAATGCACGAATACCAACTTGCACTGACCACAATCGCAAAAAAACGATGATAGGTCGTTACCTAAGGCCGGATAAGACCGACTCCCAGAAAGAGGCAAGATCCAAACTAAGTATAGGAATATGCGGAAACCGTGCCGGGAAAAGAGAACTTCGGTTCAAAGCAATACTATACACTATACAATACAGTTCGAACCGACATGTACCTTCAACCCTAAGCCCCCAACCCGAAAACCCACACCCTCAACCCCAAACCCGCAACCTTAAATCTGACATGTGGGGGATTCCGAAAATAGGGGACCCTACTATTGTACCCTAAATAGTAGGATCCTTGTTATAAGGACCCCAAATAAGATACCCGAATTTTCGGAGACTCCCATGTGCCTCCAGCTCACGCTGCCTTTGCGCATGGAACTCAGCAAGCTCTGCCTCGAGGTCACGCGCAAACCCAGACACTGCAAAGCGCAAGCAGGGTCGATGCTAAAAGGGCTCCTACGGCTCCTGAATCAGGGACCCTGCATAATGTCGGCCCCCTTATCCAGACGCCCTACTAAACCCCGTATGGCCTTTTGGGAGGAACCCTTTTAAGAGCCCATAAAGGACACCCTTATGCAGCTCTTCGGAGCCTTAGGGGCTCGGTCCATGAGACTTCGGGAAGATCCCGGAGGGCTCGGGGAGTTGGGCTTAGGATTTAGAGCCCAGGGCTTCGGCCTTACACACACATATGCGTCCTTATAATAGGGATCCTACTATTTAGGATACTATATCAGGGTCCCCTATTGTCGGAAACTCCCATATACAGTCTTTCGCGCTTTCGGATTATGGGAGGTTCCCGAAATAAAGGGTCGGAAGCTTCCTGCGAAGGCGTAGTGTCAGTTGCTGGCCGCTGCATGCTGGAGATGTTTCCCCCCCGCTTCCTTTGCTAAGGGTGTAGGGCTGCCTATGCGGTTTTTCGGAGTTTCGGCTTTGAGGTCCAAGTCCAAGATCCTCTGCGACAATTCGATGACAACTCCCCGGCTACGGCAGACTTGCCAATTGGTTCCTCGAGTCCGAAATCAGGCTCGCACCAGCTGCTGTCAGACATCAAGCAAAGAGACCTGACTAGTGTTGCCATCGTCTTCATCAACAGCATCATTGACGCGATCAGCATTGTCATCACCACTACACGAATCACTAAATACTTTCGCATTGCCCTACATGCGACGACTAGAGCAGCTGTGACAAGAGGTGGGAACCCTGATCACAGCCCAGAACCTACATCCAAAGGCAGGACACAGGTATCCGCATTGCTTGTCTTGCTGTTCCAGCTTATTGTCTTGGATCAGCCGCAAACTCACAACATGTTCTCTGCTGCATACATTGCGTACTCATGCCGCCTATTTGTCCTCGTGCATGACTGCTTGTTGCGAGGGGTTTCTGTTGTCCTTCACGTGAACTGCTATGTGCCCCGATCCTAGTTAAACGTATGATCATCATCATCATCATCATCATCAGTGTCGCCATCGTTGCTACTACTCGCTGCCATTTGCACGCAACTGGAGATGAAACCTCAAGAGGCACCGTGGACCACCACCCGATGCCTGGAATCATGCCATACCGAAGTCAGTTCGATAATTTCGATGATTGTGACCATCGGGAGCTAGGCTGAACTGGCGTTGCTACTTCCCCAATGTTGCTATTAATGCCGCTGTGATGGCTCTCCTACCTTATTTTGGGGTCCTTATGATAAGGATCCTACTATTTAGGGTACTATAGTAGGGTCCCCTATTCCTTTGTAAGAGGGCCTGGGCCGCGCGACGCCGCTCGGCCTTCTGCTGCTCCTCCCAGGCGTCGAAATCCTTCTAGTAGGCAGCTCACGAGTGCTGTAATATCAGGAATTGGGGTTCAGGGTGTAGGGCTTAGGGTCTGCACCCGTAACTAGACGCTTTAAGCTCGACCCGAAAGCACTACCATGACCATGACAATCGCCCAGAGCATCGTCACTCTCATCACTAACATCTTCATCATCATCATCGTCATCATCATCATCATGATCTTCATCATATCAGTAGTCCGGCATAGCAAACCATTCGCTCGCAATATCAACATCACACAGACGGGACCGGCACAGCAATGACATGCTGCCCCCACACACACACACACATGGCACAAGCATGAGACAGCATGAGACATCCGTTTACAAACACAACGTGTTGAAATGAAGTCAGCAGCAACCATAACAAACGAAACAGATAACAGCCACCACCATAATCAGAAGAATACCCATAGCAACACAGTTAAAATCAGACTTGGCTGAAATCTCTCTCGCTGTCGATGCGAAAAGCCGTCAGCCACCCCTTTCGATGGGATGAATGCTCGGGAAATCGAACAAGTTGGCTTTGGAATTGCAAAGTACGGGAAACAAGTTCATGGAAGCTACACACACGATCGGCATGTCGATACGGGGCTCTGCGCTGCCCTCCTCGGGCGAAATGATGGCAGGACTTAGGCCAATTTTCTGGCAGCAAAGCTTCACACGAAAGGAGTCTCCTGTGCTTACTTGCGTGTATTCGCTTCGGCGGTTTGCTGTCCGGGCAACCCAGGGGAATTGGATCTATCAAGCATTTTCGACATTGGTGCGATTTTGGTGATGCCTAGTCTTTGAAAGTTTTGTGTTTCGTGCTGCTGGTTTGAAGGTTTTCCAGGCTCCGAGATGTAGTTGTGATTACATTCACAAAATTTCTATGCACTCTCATCGCCTTCAATCCGTGCCGTCTGGTCTACCAGTGAGTCTTCTGGACCTCATCCTGTAGCGGCTGATGTAGCTCACCCGGTGCAAACGGGGTTTTCGTGACCGCTCGCCAGCAGAAAATGGAGACATGGTAAGTCCAGTGACGTTCGCGTCGGGCATGGCCCCACTAGACAGCATCGTCAAATGGTTCAAAAGGTTGCACGACCCTAAACCCTAAACCCTAAACCCTAAATCCTAAACCCTAAACCCTAAACCCGAAGCCCTAAGCCCTAAACCTTAAACCCTAAACCCTAAACCGCGTTGGGGTTGTTGTCGTCCAACGTGGGGAGTCGAGAGCCAAGCTGGGGCAGATCATGTGGCAAGAACACTACTTGGAGGATCATGGGACTTAGTAAGTAAGGTTCCTTAAACGGGCTCCTTAAAGGGATCTATAGGGGTTCCTTAAAAGGGATCTATGGGGTTTAGGGTTTAGGGTACTACTTGGAGGATCATGGGACTTAGTAAGGTTCCTTAAACGGGCTCCTTAAAGGGATCTATAAGGGTTCCTTAAAAGGGATCTATGGGGGGTTTAGGGTTTAGGGTACTACTTGGAGGATCATGGGACTTAGTAAGTAAGGTTCCTTAAACGGGCTCCTTAAAGGGATCTATAGGGGTTCCTTAAAAGGGATCTATGGGGTTTAGGGTTTAGGGTACTACTTGGAGGATCATGGGACTTAGTAAGTAAGGTTATAAGTACCCTAATTGGGGTTATAAGTATAGTTACCCTAACTATAACCCTAGTTACTAAGTCCCATGACCCTTACTTTAAGTACCAAACGGATGAGCCTCAAATGAATGCAACTCCAACAATCGACAACATAAGAAGAGGGCGGGTACGCACTGCAAAACCGGCAGCCACAACAGTTGCAAAAAAATGCTGGCGAAAGTCCCAGACCCTGAAGACTCATACCCGCTAAACCGCAAAGCCCAGACCTGTCAACCCTAGCCAGTCCTACATTGAAAGACTTAGAACCTTGATATAGGCTTTCCAATTGGAGTAGAGTTTTGGGGAATACAATACATTCATATAGCGATTGTTCGAGGATACGATGAATACCTTCAGGCTTGTGCCATCCTGACACCGTAAACCCATCTTGCCTCGGCCTCCCTCGTCGTGTCAGCCATGCGTGCCGAAGCCAGAGATGGCTGTGTAGCGCTTCAGATTTGTAGGATTTAGGGGTTCGGGTTTAGGATCTAGGGTTGAGGGTTTAGGGCTTACAGGACTCTTAAGGCTTAGGGCATCTGAAGGCTTCATGGCTTGAAAAAATGGTGAAAAGGGTATAGGTAGGTGCGAAGTTGAGGGTTTAGGTTTGAGCTTTCAGGGATGTCGGTTTAGGCTTTCAAGGTTAGAGCTTGCAGGGTTGATGGTTTGGGGCTCATATATAATAAGGATCCTATACTATTTAGCGTACTATACTAGGGTCCCCCATTTTCGGAAACTCTAAGCTTCTGCGTTTTTTCTGGTTCGGGGCTCCCAGATTTCTGGTTCTTGAACGCGCAGCAAGCTGAACGCAGGAGTTTCCGGTCATCCAAGCGACTGTGTAGTCGGGGCTTTACCTTTAGGGACTTTAGGGTTTAGGGTTTAGGGGTTTAGGGTTTAGGGTTTAGGGTTTCTTTAGCCTTAAACCCCAGATTTCTGCTAGTGAAACTACTGGAACAGCCATAGCGGCTGTGGAGTCGCTCGAGTTTGTCGCTTTTGGCCTCTACAGGAAAGGACGCTCTTTCAACGTTTTTAGCTTCTCCATGTTCTGCTACCGTTGCAGGCTGGCCAAGCCATAATGAGGAAGTCTGTAGACTGACGGGACTGCAAATTCCATGCAGTAGGTTTCCAACTCACACAGATGTGGTGCACTTGCATACGAAGTGAGGGGCCCATTATACTATATTTGTAATAAGGAACCCCCACATAAACTAGTTTAGGTAATTATGTCAGCCCTATACGATGGTCCCCTTATAGATCCCTTATAGGAACCCTTATAGGCCCTTTAAAGGAACCCTAGGAACCCCATAGATAACTACTTAAAGCCCTATATGATATTTGCTTACGAAGTGTGGGAATCCATCATGCTCAAGTTTTCAAGGTTCCATAGATCACGAGTATAGGGGCCTTAAGAATTAGAACAAAAACTGGGGGCCATTATACTATAACTATGATACGGAACCCACCGAAATAATTAGTATAAGTAGTTTAGTAGTTTAGGCCCCCATATTCCCCTGCTGGTTGATTGGCAGCGGCAGGGTGCACCTATCCAACGCGTCAGACGCTAGATCCGAGATCTGCCAGCCCTAAGCGTCAAAAGCCTAGACTCAGAAAATCACCAAAATCACCAAGTCGAATCTCCTCGAGAAAGCCGGTCAAACTAACATCATGTCCTGCATGTCTTCATGTAGCATTCTACCTGAGAGGCTCTGGTTTAAGCTTCGGGGTTTCCAGGCAAAACAGGAAGCGAGAAATGCGCGAGCTGTATGCTGGTCTAAACACCACTCCGGGCTTCCTCGAACCGGCGAAGCTCTCAGAAGTACTCTGCATTACTCTGTGCACTCGCGTAGTGTTCACTGTCCATGCTGTTGCGATCACTACTCTTCCCACTAGCAGTTCTTGCTGTTCCTCCTCTGTTTGTCTGGGACGGGCCCGGCACTAAAACGCTTCGAACACAGCAAATTTCAATACAGGTTTAAATATTCTCATACCTATAGATATATATTTATATATATATATATATATACATATATATATATATACGGAAAATGTTGTATATACAGCATACATATCAAGCGTCTGTGTGTGTGTGCAAATGTTTATTTACACTAACATGTGTGCGTGCGTGTGTGTGCGTGTGTGTGCGTATTTGTATGTATGTATACACATATGAATATGGAGAGAGCGAGAGATAGAGAACAAGAGACAGAGAGTGTGTGTGTGTGAGAGAGAGAGAGAGAGAGAGAGAGAGAGAGCGCGCGAGAGAGAGAGAGAGTAAGAGTATGTGTGCATGTGTATATCTATATATGTATGTAAATACGGGGCATATGTAGTGTGTGCCTGAATACACATGTACGTATATATGGAGACATATACATAGAGTGTTTACCTCTGTGTATGTATACATATACATACACATATACAACGTGTATATACAAATATACCTTTATAGTGCATACATGTATGTGTATATATATATATAGATATATATATAATCATATATACGTATCTATATGTAGGTATGTACAAACTATGGATTTTTGACTTAGCTCGTTGTTGACTTGCTTGTTTGTAGCTGTGAAAGTAGTATAGGTAGTACCAAGGCATGGAGCCAGGCTTGATCTTTGCACTCATGTCCGAGGTCTTCTGGGGGTTTATAGGAAACTCCAGAAAGTTGGAATATGGTTTCAGGGTAGGATACCCTTTAATTTACCATAGAAGGGTTAGGATAATCATATTCCAACTTTCTGGCTTTTACTTTACTGTCGAGGCCTAGAGCTGCCTTCACTTTGGACTGCTAGCGCGAAGGGGCTTTTAGGGACTTCAGAGTGGCGGGTTTAGAGACTCGCTGCGGAAGATCGCACTCAGATTCTCTCTCATTGCGTCTTGAACTGATCCAGGCAATCCAGGGGTAGGAAGTCTGAAACTCCGCGATGAAAACTTCCCCAGTCAGCAGCAACACAAGGGCTGAGCCCACCTAATATGGCGGCCTTGATAATTTCAATAGAGTTTGGGGGTGTAATACACTGTAACGATATAGATTAGAAGGGGATACTATTCTCAATATACAGGCCCTAGATTAAGCCGTCTGTGTAACATAGGTTACAAAAGCTATTGCATCCACCATGTGATCAGAATGATGACCGGGGTGGCCTTTCCTTGTTTCTGGGTCACTGGCCCCCTGGCTTTTGCTAACGTCAGGGGGCCACGTGCATCGCGGTTTAAACGGCCCATTCAGCAGCTTTTTTGCTGGATGCCCTTTCTTAAGCCTTTGGCATTTTCAGCGCTTCAGACTCATCTTGAGGCTGAAGACTGTCCTGGTCTATGCGCAAACTATCATTAAGTACACAGGCACCACAATCCACGGCGATATCTGATGAGCAACAAGACAGTACCAAATGCGTATCGTCCGGATCGTTAGTACACTACAAGGTACGACCCAGGACGGCTGTGACCTGGAGCCATGACAGCTGAGGATCATCTCAGCAATACAGCACTTTCCCAGCGGGAGAAGCTGGTTGTCAGACATGCAGCAAAGCGCGTAAAGAAGAGCCTTAAACACAGCTAGAGTATGGTTTGGGGGTGTTTGTAGTACAAAACTACACCGTTCTATCAGGGAATATTACGAGGGATTCCGATCATAACTTTACTGTACAAGTACTTCGTAGAGCAAGGGTGATTAGCACGGCATGACTTCACAACGGCCATAGTGATCTTTCCTAGACTTCTCCCTGAGGCAACTAAGCATATCTACATCCTCATACGGAGCATATAGCAGCATGTCTAGGACGCGTGCTGGCAGCACTAGCATCAGCAGGCACGGCAGCGGTCTCCCACGCCAGAAACATCAGGAACCGGGCTTTGGGAGTAACATCCCTGGGCCGTATAGGCCCCTGTTGGGGGCCCCTTATGGGAGTCGACGTTCCTTCAGTTTCAGCCCGGGAGCCCGCCGCCCAAAAAGAGAAGTCACCATAACAGGCGCCTTGTGGAAACTGATATGTACAGCGCCTTCAAGCATCTTTTTTTGTGCGGTTTCAGGGTCCCCCCCAAGCATACAAAAAACAAGAAGCCGAGCAAGGGAGAGGGCTCAAAGGCGCCGATTTCAACGTGGAGGCTCAGAATCTGAACTCACCAAAGTCCGCAGCGAGACCTGGGCCAGGCGCAGGGGTTGAAACCTCGAACCATGCTCTGTGCCATCAAAACATCTAATACAGTAAACACGGAAAATCGGTTTTGGGCTTAGGGTTGTCGTTCCTCCAGCAGAGCTTTGGATCCTTGCCGAGCTTCCGACGCGAGGTAAATCAGGATTATGCGTCTGCTGCAGCGCCACCGGCATTCCGTTCCTGAACATGAAGCAAAACAGCAAAGTGGGCAACAGCAGTCGTAGTAGTCGGCGTCGTAGCAGTGGTAGTAGGGGTGGTGGTAGTAGTAGTAGTAGTAGTAGTAGTAGTAGTAGTAGTAGTAGTAGTAGTAGTAGTAGAGTAGTAGTAGTACTCGTAGTAGTACTCGTAGTAGTAGTCGTAGTAGCAGTAGTAGTAGTAGTAGTAGTAGTAGTAGTAGTAGTAGTAGTAGTAGTAGTAGTAGTAGTAGTATTAGTAGTAGTAGTAGTAGTAGTAGAAGTAGAAGTAGAAGTAGAAGTAGAAGTGGAAGTAGAAGTAGAAGTAGAAGTAGAAGTAGAAGTAGAAGTAGAAGTAGTAGTAGTAGTAGCAGCAGTGTAGTAGTAGTAGTAGTAGTAGTAGTAGTAGTAGTAGTAGTAGAAGCAGCAGCAGTAGTAGTAGTAGCAGTAGTAGTAGTAGTGGTAGTAGTAGCAGTGGTAGTGGTGGTGACAGTGGCAGTGGCAGTGGGAGTGGGAGTGGGAGTCGGAGTGGGAGTGGTAGTGGTAGTGGTAGCGGTAGCAGCAGCGGAAGTGGTAGTGTTATAGTGGTGATGGTGGTGGTCGTAGTAGTAGTAGTAGTAGCAGCAGCAGCAGCAGGAGTAGTAGTAGTAGTAGTAGTAGTAGTAGTAGGAGTAGTAGCGGTAGTAGTGGTAGTAGTGGTAGTAGTGGTAGTAGTGGTAGTAGTAGTAGCGGTAGCGGTAGCGGTAGCGGTAGCGGTAGCGGTAGCGGTAGCGGTAGCGGTAGCGGTAGCGGTAGCGGTAGCGGTAGCGGTAGCGGTAGCGGTAGCGGTAGCGGTAGCGGTAGCGGTAGCCGTAGCGGTAGCCGTAGCGGTAGCGGTAGCGGTAGCGGTAGCGGTAGCGGTAGCGGTAGCGGTAGCGGTAGCGGTAGCGGTAGCGGTAGCGGTAGCAGTAGTAGTAGTAGTAGTAGTAGTAGTAGTAGTAGTAGTAGTTGTAGTAGAGTAGTAGTAGTAGTAGTAGTAGTAGTAGTAGTAGTAGTAGCAGCAGCAGCAGTAGTAGTAGTAGTGGTATGTGTAGTAGTAGTAGTAGTAGTAGTAGTAGTAGTAGTAGTAGTAGTAGTAGTAGTAGTAGTAGTAGTAGTAGTAGTAGTGATAGTAGTAGTAGTAGTAGTAGTAGTAGTAGTAGTAGTAGTAGTAGTGGTAGTGGTAGTAGCAGTGGTAGTAGTGTGGTAGTGGCAATAGTGGTAGTAGTGGTAGTGGTGGTAGTGGTGGTAGTAGTGGTAGTAGTGGTAGTAGTGGTAGTAGTGGTAGTAGTGGTGGTAGTGGCAGTGGTAGCAGTAGCAGGAGCAGGCGCAGGAGCAGTCGTCGTAACACTAGTGGTAGTAGTCATAGTGGTACTTGTCGAAAGAGAAGTAGCCAAGCAGCGGCAAAGCCCAAGGAACTAAACCTAAAGCCCTGGCAGCCTCGAGTCTGATACACTTCAGCCCAGCATCTTAGTGTTGCCAACAGAACTAAAAACCCAAACGCCTAAACCCCAAAACGGTGTTACGGCTTAGAGTTATACAAGGTGTAGGGTTTTTCAGGTATACTTCAGGGACCCTCATTGTGCCCACGGCTTGAACCGGGTGAAAGCACGCCGGGCCGACAGTTTTCAGCTTGGGTGCGCGAATAGCCTGGCAGGAGAGTTTGCGGTGGGGTTTTCCGAGAAAGGGTCTATAGGGGGGTCTATAACGACTCAGAAGGGCTCTATGAGAGGTTCTACCAGGGTTCTATCAGGTTTAGGATCGTTCAGTTCAGAGTCTCGGGTTCAGGGTTTGGGGCAGATCGAGGGCTGGGATGTCATCAGGGCTTAGGGCATAATTGGGGCTCAGAGCGTATGTAGACATTAGGGCTTTGGCTTCTTTTGCCGCATGTTGGACTTTCTCCCAGGTCTTTGTGAACATGTGGTGGGGCTTTCCTTACCTTTGGTTAGTAGGGAATGGAAGAATGGTAGTAATAGTAGATATAATTGTACCCCATTCCTCCATTCCTAGGGGTTTAGGGGTTTAGGGTTTAGGGTTTAGGGCCGCCCAAGTTCAAAAACGGTGGGCTTCTGGGCCGAGAAGGGATTCAGGCTTTGCGCCAAGAAGGTGGTGCCCTCTTGTCCTTCGGATATGGAGCGCCTTGAGCTGTGAGGCTCTAACTATAGGCTTCCTTAAAGGGTTCTTAAAGGGATCTATAGGGTTTAGGGTTTAGGGTCTACTTAAAGGATCATGGGACTTAGTAACTAGGGTTATAATTAGGGTAACTATACTTATAACCCCAATTAGGGTACTTATAACCTTACTTACTAAGTCCCATGATCCTCCAAGTATGGCCATTTTGGGTTCATGGGTTGTGGGAGTTAGGGTTAGTGGCACCCTTAGGATATAGACCCTCTCAATAAGGCCCCTTTTAAGAGAGCCAGAAGTAGGGTTCAGAAGGGGTACCCTTTAAGGGGTCTCCCTAATCATACTACCTAGGTTAGGGCATCGCACTTGTAACCTCGCACAAGAAAGCAGTAGTGTCCCCAACAGCTGCCATCAGGATCGTTCAAGACTGGATCATCCTAGATGAACAGACCAAGACAGAGTCTCACAATACCCCCGGTCACAGCTGTGGATCACAATAATTGCAATAATGATAAGAAGAATACAAATAATCATCGTAAGAGGTAGTAACAATAATGGACACCCCGGCTTGAGTCCCTGCCTTTGTCGGCGCAGGGAACGGGACACGCTGCCCGTTGGCGAAGACCATTGGTTTGTACTCCTGACAAAAAGGCAAGGCGTGTACGATTCGGAGTGGGGGGCCGAAAGGCGACGGTCTCATCCTGTTCAGTCTGTGTTGCTATAGTAACATGCGTAGTTTGGCTATCTGGATAGTTCCACCTCCATTCTGCTTGGCGCAAACTGTCATTGGCCAAGACGATACCTTTCATGTGCACTTTTTCCCGACGACTAAGGATTGTTTCAAGGCCAATTTCGATGGTGTGCAAACTGTTCGCCTTGCTCAGATCTTGCTCGCGTCCCAAGCGAGTTGGAGTATCTTGCATCCGTTTTCGTCAGCCCAGGGCACAGGATGGTGAAGAAAGGGGAACATGGTTCCACAATGGAACCACGATTGCAGGTCCTCAGGACTATCATGACGACATTGATCGCAGCCTCAAAGGGGTACTATGGAAAAGGGCAGGTATGATGACACAACGAGCATGATATGGCATGCTGGAAGCTCATGATGTCTGTGACGACGACGACGACGAAGAGTCTGTTGAAGAGGTAACAAGGAGAATGATCGTGACCATGATGCCGATAACAGTTTACTTGGCTTTCATGGCTATGATGTGTCTCTTGAGGTCAGCTCATGTCTTTGACTCTTTGCATGCTCGAGTCTCAAAATTCAACTCCTGAGATAGTGGCTTACAATTTTAGCATATTTTAGCCTTGCGTAGCATTCGTAGCAGTGCTCCGAATCCGAATCGGGCTATGCACGAAGGCTTCACATGAGGTCTTGGGAATTAGCGACGCGGGCTTTGACGGTACCAGATACTCCCAAACCAAGACACGTGCTCTTGCGCGCCTGGCCTCCTAAATCCCAGTACTCAAACCTTATAGCGCATATTACCCGCCAAACCCCAAGCTCTCTATGCTCTCCTCCGGCGTGAGTGGGTGCATGACAGGGCTGTTTCGGTATCGCTCAACCTCGGCAAGCGTGGGGCGGGGCTGAGCTGTCAACCGAAGCCCACAGATCCCGCACTTAAACTCTCTCAACCACCCCACGACCCAGCCCCCCAAACCCAACCCTCAAACCCCATACCCCCATACACCTACACCCCGTTTCTTCACCCCAACTTGGGGTCAGTCGTCTCGAGCCTTGTCACTTCACAAATTCTCGGTCCGCAGTGGCGGTCTAGCACCTTAAACCCTGAAACCCTGAAACGCCCAAACCCCAAGCTCCATGAAGAGATCCGATGCTTCGGCCCTGGCCACCGAAAGGGGTGCCTAAACGTAGACCTTCAGGGTAAAATCCTACAAGAACGTGCGGGTTTTATGGTTTCGGATTCGTGGTTTAGGATTTTCGTAGGTTTCAACAACACTGATGTTAGGTGAGGTGGCTTCTTCGAAACTGAGCATCGGTCATGCTCCTGCAGGCCCTGATGCGGATGGGCCCAGGAAACCTGGAAGAGGTGGCGCTGCGAGAGAGAACTTGGCACCCCAGGGAAGACTGCCTTGTAGAGCTTAGAATTTAGGGCTGTTCTCATTCAAGGGCCCGTTTTCGATCCGCACAAAGGGCTCCCATAAACCAAAAGAATAGAATCCTAAACTCCACAGCCCACAACTATCAGTTTCATGATGATCTCGGATTCCCCAAACGAACAGGCCCGGCCTCGCAGCTCTTGTCACCCTCCTGGCCCCAACCGGCGTAGCCTTGGAACACCTCCATGGCCGCAAGCGCATCCTGCAAACTCCGGATATCCAAAGTTGGGGGAGGTAGTAACAGTGCAGCAGCAGTAGCCATAGCAGTACCAATACAGGTAGCGTCGTTGACGTCATGTTCGTGGTGCCGGTCGTGGTGGCGGTAGCTGTGAAAGTGGTGGCGGCGGCGGCGGCGGTGGTGCTGGCGGAAGTGGTGGCAATGATGACCAGCAGTGGTACTAGCCTTGAAAGCAGTAGAGGTGGTGTTCGTTCTCGTCGTCATACTAGCAGTATCTAGCAGTAGTAGCAGCCGTTTCAGCGTAGTAGTAGCAGGAGCTGTAGTCGCCGTCGTAGTAGCAGCAGTAGTAGCAGTCGTCGTCGCGGCGATGATGGTGGTGGTAGTAGTAGTAGTAGTAGCAGTAGCAGTAGCAGTAGCAGTAGCAGTAGCAGTAGCAGTAGCAGTAGCAGTAGCAGTAGCAGTAGCAGTAGCAGTAGTGGTAGTGGTAGTAGTGATAGTAGTGGTAGTGGTAGTAGTGATAGTAGTGATAGTAGTGATAGTAGTAGTAGTAGTAGTAGTAGTAGTAGTAGTACCAGGAGTAGTAGCAGCAGTAGCAGTAGAGTAGAAAATGAGCAGCAGCGATAGTAGTCGCCGTCGCGGTTGTGGTAGTCATTGTGATTCATAGCGGCACTTGCAGTCGCAGCAGTAGCGGTGTCATTGCGATGACACTAGCCCGGTTGTGCATTCGAGGTGCACCCTGCGACCCAAACCACATGAAAGTTTGCAGCATCTTGACAACCCCCGGACCTCAAAACTATTTAGGGTACAGTTGAGGTCCAAGGCACTGTTAGATCCGGCTACCATCAGGAGGCTCTCTGCGCGGGAACCGACTTTGCCAAATGCGGGCGGTTTCGAGCAGCTTCGACAAGGAATTCTTCAGTTCCCGAACGTAGTGACTTGGTAGGTGTGAGACCAGCTGTGCTGGACTCCAGAACGGCACGAAATTCGGACATTATTGTTAGGGCTTTGACCACTCAAGGCCTGATGTGTCAGGGTGTTCACGAAGGCGTAGCCAAGATTCGTGCCTGGGTCAAGAAGTGCCTAACGACAAGCCCCAATGGATCATGTTGGGGTTGTTTTATACTGCCTAGGTTGACTTCAGTTTTGGCTGAAAGAGTAACACGAAACAAACAGTCTAGGGTTTGGAATGCACTGGTCCAGACAGTCACACAGGGGTTTTCCTGGCCTCTCCCGCATGTACAGTGCAGTGTCGGGGTTACGAGCTAGGGGCTCGGGACTCAGTATGCAGGGATTGCGAGCAAGGGCTTGAATGTTACAGTAGGTGTTTGGGGTATGTTGTGCTATGCTCCCTGAATCCTGACTGCTGGGCTCCCAGCCCTAAACCCTAAAGCCTAAACCCGAAGTTTGACGCAGCCAATGCGAGCCTGGAACCCGAACCCCTGAAACCTTACCCTTGAGGACCAAACCTCAAACCCCAAACAGTAGACGTTGGTCATGTCCAAAACGCGTGCCTGTGTGTCTCTAAGTATGTGCATAGATCGATCTATCCATCATTATTTATCTAAGTGCCTAACTTTCTGCCTCGCTCTCTACCTCTATCTCGTTCTCTCTCCGCCTCTCCCTCCCTAAACCCTAAACCCTAAACCCTAAACCCTAAACCCTAGCCTCTCTCTCGGCGTACAGGATCATAGCATCTCAGGAGCTGGCCGTTGCGGAAATCCATTGGCAAGTATACAAAGTCCTGGCTTCGGGGAGCGCTGTTGGATCGGTATAGGACCTTAATACTGTAGTAGCCCTATTATAGACTCTTACTGTATGGGGGCCGTACCTAAATTAGAAGTATGATTCCGCTAGCATTATTTCGGTGGTTTGGGGTGTTGGGTTTAATGCGATGGCCTGAAGTTTTGCACGTCAAGTCAGAGGACCTCAACCGCTGAGCCTAGTTTTGGGATGAACGAGTTTCGGTTCAGGCACAGCTTCCAAGCAGGCCAGGCAGGCGTATTTTGCCTGAAAGCCGTTGTCGTTCAGAAGCTGCAGCATGGTTTCTTGCGAAAACCTTTCCAAGGAGTCGAGGAAGTAGGTTCATGGTTTAGGGTTTTAGGTTATCAGGTTATCAGGTTTAAGGTGGCTTCAGGTCTAGGGCTTAAGTATTTTGGGGTTTAAGAGCCCAGGGTATCCTGTTCAAGGGTCGAGGGTCTGCGGCTTAAACGGCTTAGAGTTAAACGTTTGGGGGTGTGCTACGGTATGGTTTAGGGATGCTTAGGGCAGTTTTCAAGGTTTGCTTCGGATCCCTGACTATCAAAAGCTCAACCGGCCCGCATTCTTAATCTAATATCTGTAGACAGTTTTCTTACAATACAACTATATATACATATATATATATATATACATATACATACATACATCACCTGCAGCAAAGCTTGAGGGTGTGGATTCCGGGGGGTACCATATATATATATATATATATGTTGCACAGTATATTCTATAAAGAAACTCTCGATCCTGAACCTGTCTCAAATCGTGGAAGCCTCGGGTCCAAACAAGTGGGGGAGGTTAAGGCCGTGAAAACCCTGAGAATATAGCAGCAAGACCCGAGTATGCTAGCAGCTGCGTTGCAGGCTTCGGGCAAGTGCCATGCATGAACTGCCTTGAGCCCTTTTGCTCCCCTTGCACTCCCACCGGCTTCACAGCGCTCCTACTGCTCTCTCTTCATTTGAGCATCGATTTGTGTGGAGACTCCCTGCGCCCACCCGCCCCCGACAGCTTGATTGGATTCGGTCCGATGATCCGAGCGCCCTAAACCCTAAACCCCTAAACCCTAAAACCCTAAATCCCTAAACCCTAAACCCTAAAACCCTAAACCCCTAAACCCTAAAACCCTAAACCCTAAACCCTAAACCCAGCAGCCGCCACAGCCGGAAACAGACTCCACCTGATGCTCACGATGCTCTGCGGGCCTCCGACCTTGCAATATGCTGAGGCACTTGGAGGATCATGGGACTTAGTAAGTAAGGTTATAAGTACCCTAATTGGGGTTATAAGTATAGTTACCCTAATTATAACCCTAGTTACTAAGTCCCATGATCCTTTAAGCAGGGACGGGAATGATGCTCATGATGCTGACACAGCGGGTTCTTGGGAACAAGTTCGGCCACGGCAGGTGCACGCCAAACTGCCGCTTGTTGAGCGCTGAGGCGTGTAGCCCCGTAGTCCAACGATTTTGGCGTGGGTTTTGGGGGCGTGCCGAAACTTGCAGTAGCAAGGTTCTGAGAGTTTCCAAGGTTCTTGCGGGCCTTGCGCTGCTCCGCCGGAGGCTTCCTATAATAGCTCTGCGCGAAAGATCTGGTGCCGCGCCTTGCCAGCCTCTGGGCACTGGCCCAGTGGAATCGGGCGACGCGCATCCTCACAGACGTGCACCGACGTCCTCTTCTGCGTGTCATAGCTTTTTGATGGATTCCTGTGCGTACAAGGCGTCATCGCCCGGCTTCTCTCGAAGATGCCCGGTTTTTGCGGAGGGTACAGGGATCCGATGGCTTCCTCCTCGTGGCTTGGGAGGCTGTGGCCTCAAGCTGAAGTGCGCCTCGAGGGCCAGGGCGACATGAGGAGAAACGAACTCCTCCTGATGCTCATGATGCTGGCCCCTGTGTTTAGGACTTCGAAAGAACCTGCTGATGCGGCACATGATCTGGTGCCTTGGGGGCTTCGACGTCACGAGGGCAGGTCACAGGTGCCCGAACGATTTGGCAAGCGCAGTGCGCTCCACAACTGTGGTCTCTCCTGTGCTATGCGGAGAGGAGGAGAATCTGGTTGGCTCGGGACCCAAAGCACCTCGGCGAGAAACATCTGCTTCGGTCAGCAGAAACGCAGTCCTCATAATGCTCATGATGCCGGCTTCACGGGGGTTCCTAAACTTCCTGTGATGCTGATGATGATCCTCCTGATGCTTGGGCTTCTTGGACACAGCCTTGTGCCTGCATTGCCCAGATGCGGCCGAAATACTCTCCGTATTGCGATCAGAACTAAGCCAGCAGTCCACCCTGGAGCACTCAGCCAATCGACGAGAAGCCCAAAACGCAAACAGCAGCAACAACAAGAAAGCAGCAGCAGAAAAACCAAAGCAGAGCTGGACAAAAGGAGCAGAGCTGGGGGAGGAGCTGCAGCGTCAGGAAAAACGCTAGAACCTTACGAGTCCCTGCTACGCCGCCTGGTGGGAAGATTTCGCAGCATAATGGTGGTGCCATTGACCTTCGACAGGAAGTTTGGGGCTGGGATGAAACCTAAACCCTTAAACCCTCAACCCTTAACCCCGAAACCCTGAACCGTTGAACCCTACCCTGAACCCTGAACCCTTAGACCCTAAACCCCCAGCCTTTTGCTAGTGCCGTGAGCGCTCTGTCGGAACGCTCTTTGGCGCGTGCTCTGCAACTTAAACCCCCAGCCTAAGCCCTCTAAACCCCTAACCTTGAAGCCCCGGGCGGTAAGTTGCACTTCGACTCCAAGACATAGGAACTCTGCCTACTTCGAATCGCCGCAGACAAAGAAGCTCTTGCTGGGCTCTTGCTAAGGAGCGTCATCCAAGTTTAGAGCTTAGGCTTTTGCGCCTAGGGTTCAGGGCATGGGATTTAGGGGTTTGGAGTTTCAGATTGAGCACGTAAGGTTTGCATGTTAAACCATGAGAGACGGCAAACACAAGACAAAGAAGCACTCATATCCACTAAGCGAGACCCAAATCCTGGACCCACGGCTTGGGGATGTGAACAAAGCTTAGGCATTCGCATGGGCTTTGGAGATCTGCTCATATGTCCCGTCATGCCCTGAAGCATAAACCCTACACTCTGAACCCCAGAAAAAGAGCTCTACCTGAACCCCAAAAGTGTGTAGGACAATAGCCTTTTAAAGGTTTTGGGGGGGTCTAGGTAAGATAGCTCTCAATCGGATCGAGCGGCCGGTGGCTCTGGCGGCAGCTTCGGCTGAGCCTCAACGACTTCATCCGCAGAAAGCCCTAAAGTCCTAGATCCCGAACTGGGTCGCTCAGGAATACTTTTCTGGCGTGGGTTTTTACTTGAGGGGACCTCAGGGGTTTTGTTGGGGTTTATTCGGAGCTATCGGGGTCGAGGGACGGCTTCAGGTTCAGCAAAAGAAGGCCCGTAATTAAGGGGTTTACAGAAGTTCAGGGTTTTTTTTTTTTTTATGGGCCCTTTTCGAACTGCAGAACAGTTAGAATTCCTGTACTAGGAGTTCAGGGTTTAGGGTTCAGGGTTCACGCGCACCAGGACAGTCTTGGAAACTGGACATGGCACGAGGACCATCACCATGAAGATTCCCCAGACCCCGGGAGTATCTGGAAAGTAGATCCCCTAATTTGAGGCCCTACTTAAAGGATCATGGGACTTAGTAACTAGGGTTATAATTAGGGTAACTATACTTATAACCCCAATTAGGGTACTTATAACCTTACTTACTAAGTCCCATGATCCTCCAAGTATACTACTAAGTGTACTTTAAAGGAACCCCCCATTAAGGGATCTACTTTTTTGGATCCTCCCGGGGGTCTGGGTTTGTCGTCCGAAAGAGGCGCTCAGCCCAAAACACCTCAACCCTCGTACAGCGCCTGCAGGAGAAGATCCTGACTCCTAAACCCTAAACCCTAAACTCTAAACCCTAAACCCTAAGCCCTGAACCCTAAACCCTAAACACTAAACCCTAAACCCCAAACCCTAAAGCCTAAACCCCAAGGACACACCCCCAGCAAGGCTGACACCTCCTTTGCCTCGGGGATGGCTGCAGGCACTGGCGACCTCAGCGATTCGGATTCAAGGCTTTGGGATTAGGTTGAATGTTTTTTTTGTTGAGCTCCTTTTTCCTTCCGCGACATCCTTGCTACAAACGAATTAGGTTGAATGTGTATGGCCTACAGTAGGGTTAAGGAATTGCAGGGTTCATAGTTTAGTGTGTAGGGTTCAGTGGAAGGTCGTTTGCCTGGAGCGGTTGAGGTGTGGGTGTTTAGGGGTTGGATGCACAAAGGAGCTGGGGGTGGCGATTTTGCCGGCCAAACTCGCATGGAAGCTGGACTCATGACCACGCAAGATACTGCGCCCACATCGAAAGGAAATTATTCTTCTTATTATCATTGTTTCTATTACTATTACTGTGATTACCCTTTTATTGGTACTATTCTTGATATCATCATCATGTTGCGAAGGCCTGCCACCGGACTGGGGCGTGGACTGCGTCGGGCTCTCCGAGGCCTCGGAAGCGAGTGGCTTTGGGGCTTAGCTTTCGGGGGGTTGGGGCTCGGAGTTTCGGGGGTTCTCGTTTCAGAGTTTCAGGAGTCGGTTGCTTGGGGTGTTTATGGGCTTGAGCCTCGGTTGAGGCTTTGGGTTTGGGTCTGACATGTACTGTAGGGCTTGGGGTGTTTAGGGCTTAGGGTTGAGGATTAGGGTTTAGGGTTTAGAGTTTAGGGCTTAGGGTTTAGGGCTTAGGGTGGGTTTAGGATTCAGGATTTGGGTTTGGCTGTAGGGCTCTGGTTTTGATCTCAGGGTCCAGCGGCTGCAGCATTGCGCGTGTGGATGCCGGGCCATGGAGCTCAAACAATAAAGTACAAACGCTGGTGAGGGTGACTTAGGGTAATCACTGTCGACCCTCGCCCCACCGACCCCAAAACCCCAAAAACCTTAGACCTTTAATACCTCGGCCTTACTTCGGCTGTGAGTTTAGGGCCTTGATAGCACCCTTTCAGTGCCCTTATAGTGCCCTCTTGGTCCGATTATAGTACTCTTTTCTGTCAGGTGGGACCCGTGCCAGCGAGGCAGGGCCCGGACGAAAAACACTGTCTGAGCTGGGGGTCGTGGGTATAGGGCTTTTCGGGTTCAGGGTTTAGGGTTTAGGGTTTAGGGTTTAGGGTATAGGGCTTTTGGGGTTTAGGGTTGAGGGGCTGGGGCTTTGGGTTCAGGGTTTAGGGCCGTTTAGGGTTTAGAATTTAGAGTTCAGAGGTAGGCTTTCCACCACTCAAGAGATGCACCCCAGACTCCAAAGACCTTGAAACCCTCCAAGTCCGAAGTCCTAGATGTTGGATGTTGGGGATTTGGCGACTTCGGGTGTTGGGCCAAGGATACAAAGCGACGCTTGCACAGCGCACCCGGCTGCACACAATCACCTTCGTGCGGTCTGATCTTCGCGATTTGTGTACGAAAACTTTCGGGCTCCAAGATCCGCCGCACGGCCGAAGAGGGAACTCTCGTACCTGAGCCCCGGACAGACCATGCCTTGCCATTGGCATTGGCACCCCGGCCGCGTCCTCGTCCCTTCCCCGACCTGGTGAGGGTGTTTGCAGTGGAGCTGGCAGTCAGAGCTTCGGAGTTGCACTAAACCTGTGCAAAAGTCGTGGTTTCTGGGCAGCCGGCGTTGTCTGATTTCCACGCCCCTGGCAGACACAACCATGGTACAACCCTCTGCGTGTCTCGAAACACGACAACAGCCATGTAAGGGGGGGCCGTCGTTTGCGGTGTTAGGACTGTTACGATGGCCACTTGAAATGAGTCGGAAACCACAGCAGAGAGCGCCGTCCACGAAAGCTTTTTGGTCTTCGACAGCATTTCACTGGCACGAACCGATGTCATAGCCTTCGAAAGCGTCCAACAAACGCTCAGATCTTGAAAGGCCTGTCGACTGCGCTTCTACGACTTGGAGGGTCGGGGGACTTAGTAACTTGTTATTTTCAGGACTTATAAGTACCATAACCCCGATTAGGATCCCTTTTAGGGTACTTATAAGTCTACTTCCTACCTACTTACTAAGTCCCCCGACCCTCCCCTCTCGACTACCTGACCATCCCTGGGGCCCACGGACACGACGCCGGGGTTAAGGCTCTAAAGCTTATCCATGAGCGTCTTCGCCATCTTCTGGAATACATCCATGCCGCGGCGAAGCACCCTCTCTTTCCAGAAGTCGGTCCTGACGTAGAAAGCGTCCTGCCTCCGAGGTTTGGGTCGGCTTTGGGGAGGAGGCGTCTTCAAAATTTCAAATCAGGGTTTAGGGTTTAGGATTTAGCCCTTTGACAGGGTTCCGTGTAATTGCTGAGCATCCGACAATGGAGGGTCGATACTGGGGTCCCCTTGCGTTTGTGGAGCTCAGACGTGGAGTGTTCGGTTTTGGTGCTTGGGGGCTGAGGAGAGGGTACGACCGGAGAACCCGCAAACCCTAAGCCTCAGCACTGACACCCTGAAGCCCGAAGTCCTGAAGCTAGAACGCCAAAGCCTAAAGGCCAACAAAGACCGTAAGCAGCACAGAGGGTTCAGGAAAGCTCAGGGTTCAATCCTTACCGAAGCAGAGACATTGAGCCATGCTGCGTGAAGGTGCGCCAGAAGTCGTGGTTGCCGCGGTCATAGTGGAAGCCAACGTTTTCCAGCATCAAGGCCCTCGCCACCGCCAGCGACGGAAGGGTACCAAACTCTTGCTGCACCAGGAGGGCTCGCCCAGAATCTGGAGGAAACCAGGATGTTACCCAATCGCCAGACAACACACCGACCTCAGAGGATAAAACACACCGTAGGCTGACAGGCTACGTAGGTGCCTTCGGGTCGGGTTGTAGTGCAAATATGACTTCGGGCTTCGAGTCTTCGAGCCATCAACCTAGCTCTAAGCTTAAGATGTTGGATCTCTGGGCTGATAGAGGTTTAGAGTTTAGTGTTGAAGATGTAGGGTTACAACAGCCCCCGGAAAATGCGAGCCTTCACCACCCCTCTCCGTCACAGGGTTATCAAGGCTACCCGCTACCAGGGAGGGTCACCACCTTGCAAGGCCCGAACTCCTTGGTTATGAGGGTTCTGGAGCTTACCTTCCAAAAAAACCCTTCTAAAACCCTAAACCCTAAACCCCGAATCAAACTCCCAAACCCGCTGAACAAACACCATGTACACCAAAATCCTTCGGTGCCGCTTGGGTTTGGGGGCCTCAACAGCTTTTAGATTGCCGAAAGCCTTGTGCTGTAGCGATAATTACTGTACTGATGCACCACAGATGTACCACCACTTTGCTCCTATACAACTTCCGTACCGCGACTGTTCTACTATTTACCATACTGCCTAGCAGCTACTGCACTACTACTGCACTACTACGGTGCCACAAATGAACCTCAACTTCACTACTACTGTACCCCTGTACTACTACTGTACGGGGACGGGGCCGGGCGGGCAAGCACAGTGCACCGTGCAACTATAGGCAGACTATAGGGATCTTACTGATCCTACCGTATTTCTGTTGGATCAAATTCGGATGAGCCCAGGAGGGGGGCCTTAATGAAACCGGGTTCAGGGTTTAGGGTTTAGGGTTTAGGGTTTAGGGTTTAGGGTTTATAGTGCGAGGCGCCGTGTATTCGTATCCACCCGCTTGCGAAGAAGAGAACCTGCCCGAATTCACATCCAGCTCGCCAGGGCCGCAGCGGCGGTCAATGGCCGAGATGCCAAATCCGCCCTGAAATCCATCGAACTCGCCTTCCACTTTGGGGAAGATCTCCTGGGACAGAGCTGTTGCTGTTGCCATTGCTGCCGTATCATTCAGCTGTGGGGGGTGTGGGGGTTACAGGGTACAGGGGTATTGGGTGTCCATGGAGGCCCACTCCGGCACACATGCCAAAAGCCCAAGACCATACAAACCCTAAGCTTAACCCTAACACCCCGAATCCAAGAACGACTGAAGCCTTACGCAGCTAACGTGCACCGATCAAGACCCAGTGCCCCGAATCCACCGGCCCCAAGGCAATTCTGCGCAATAGGGCCATCGGGATTTAGGGCCACAGACCTACAGGGAAGCAGGGTTATAGACAGCCATGGAGCTGTAGGGTCACAACTAGTGTTGTGGGGTTGTAGGGATTTCGAGCCAAAGAGCTTTAGGGACTTTAGAGCTACAGGGCTATAGGGCTTTTGGGATATAGGGTTTAGAAATGTCAGCCCGGGTGCATCCATGAGCTGTCGATCTTCGAAATTCCCCAGAAGCACATCCACGCCTGAGACGAAGCTTTTGGGGTTTTGGGGTTTAGGGGCTTTGGGTTGGGGAGTTCAGGATTCAGGGGTTTATGGGTTTTGGGGTTTAGGGGTTTTGGGGTTTAGGGGTTTCGGGGTTTTGGGGTTTATAGGTTTTGGGGTTTAGCGGTTTTGGGGTTTTGGGTTTAGGGGTTTTGGGGTTTTCGGGTTTAGGGGTTTTGGGGTTTAGAATTTAAGGGTTTAGGGGTTTAGGGTTTTGGATTTTTGGGGTTTGGGGGTTTAGGGGTTTTGGGTTCAGCGGTTTGGGGTTTGGGGTTTTTGATGTTTTGGGGTTTTGAAATTTTTGGGCTTTTTGGGCTTTTGGGAGTTTCGGGGTTTCGGGGTTTTGAGGTTTGGGGGTTTAGGGTTCTGGGGTTTGGGGGTTTTGGCTCAAGGGTGTTGAAAGACCAACACGAAGTCGGTGAGGAGCTTCAGCAAGACCGCACCAAAGCCGATAATGTAGGGGCCTTTTTTGCTAGCAAAGGGTTTGGGGGCATATTATACTATAGTTACAATAAGGAGTCCCCACAATAGTATTGGTAATTATATAGGCCCCTATACTACAGAAGTCCTCCCAAAACCAAGCCCTTGCGTCGAGAAAACCCCGATCTCTGACCCACGAAGCTCTGCCTTGTGCGCCAAGTCCAGTATGCACATCGACCCATGCAATCTCCTTTGCCGGCACCTTCCCGAACTGCTCTTTGAAGAAGTCTCGCAGCAGAATGTGCGATTTCTGCAGCTCGCGGCCGCCGAAGAACATGCCTTGCTCCTTCGTGTATGTGCCACCGACCAGCGCGGTCTTGATGTATCCAAAGCCATAGGCAGCAACGTAGGATGCCATGTGTGGCCAAATGGCCACATTCCGGTAGAACCAACTCGGCGTCACCGTGGGATTGAACAGAGGATCGAAACCTCAGTTCTTGTCAAGAAGCTTAAAGTTACCACATGAGGGATACATGATCAAAATCTTTCATTGGGCATCGTAAGTGAAATTTCTGAACAAGAGCTCAGGAACTGCTGTAGATAGTCGCCAGTTTGTCTTCGGTTTGCAATCTTTCAAACTCCTGCGGTGAGAGACAGTTGCGGTTCAGGTCCACATTTTTCTCGTTGCAGCGCCGGAAGTGCGCCATGCCGTAGGGATTCCTGAGGTTCAATAGAAAGATATATGCTGGCGGGCACCTGAACGCGTAGTAATGTAGTAACATTATTCCGTTGGTGTCACCTGCATACCTCTCGCAGGAAACCGCTCAACAACCCCGTCTGATAATGTAGGCCATTCATAAAATTGAAATCTTCGGGACCTCTTCAGCGCATACCAAGGAGACTTATTCGGGATCGCGAGTCATCTTCCCAAGGCAAAATCCGAAGTTCTAACCTAAACGGAGAATCCTAAACCCCTAGACCTTGACAAATTGAGCAAAAACAGGCCATGGTGGAAGAGTCACACAGCATGGACGAACACCGCAGTAACGCCGATGGACAGCTCCTCACATCACTTCGAGTAGAGTTGGCATTTGGGGTTTAAGTTTTAGGGTTTAGGGTGTAAGGTTTAGGTTTTAGGCTTGGGTATGGGACGTTTCGGGGTTTGGGGTTTTGGCGTTGAGGGTGCCGGGTTTAAGATCTTCAGGTTGAGCAGAATGTGGCCTAGAAGAAACTGAATTGAGTTCAGGTAGTGGGGGGTAGAACATTTCTTTTCCGACAACCCTCTACACCCAAAACCCCAAAGCCTAAACCCTAAACCCCTAAACCCTACACCCCAAACACTAAAGCCTTCTCCCCTAAGCGCCTCAACAGAACCCAATGCTTCGGCGTCCGAGTCCTGCCAGTGCCTTAGGAGGCCTAGCTGGATACCGCTGCCTGCATAGCCTGGGCTTCAGGGTTTAGGGTTTAGGGGTTTTTTGTAGAAATTGTATAGCGTTTGGGTCCGGGGTTCTGGCCGAAAGTTTTGAGCGAAACGTTTTGTTTTTTGCTTTGAAGATTTTGTTTTTGAAAGTGGGCTGGGCTGGGGTCGGGGCTGGCTGGGGGCTGGGGCTGGGGCTGGGCTGGGCTGGGCTGGGCTGGGCTGCTTGGGCTGAGCCTGGCTTCAAGCATCCGAGACTCGTGCATGAATCTCGCGGCGAAAACAGATCACCTCAAAACAATGACCCCATAAAGCCAACAGGGCGTGCTCATGTGACTGCGGCACCGGCCGATTTGCAAACTACCTCAGAGTCAAAGAACGTTCAACCGCGCAGTTTCAATGAAGATGCGCTGGGCTCTCACGCAACACACTTGGTCTTCGACCCAGAACAAGCGTCGATATTGTGAAGCCTCATAATAAACGTCACTTGCCGCAGGAAAGAAACGAAACCGACAAGAGCTGCTCCGACGAAGAACCTGCAACAAAAGCCAACTGCCAAACTTGCGCTGAAACACCTTCGCCTCAAGAGCTGCATCAATGCAACGCGCTTTGGCAATGCACAACACAACGCACCCGTTCGTAAGGTGTGACCTCACTACCTTTCCCTTCGACTTGCCTTGCCCTCACAAGATTTGTGAACCCATGTTCAACTGTCCAACACAAACTGCTGTGGTCTCTGCCTCATTTTCCTTAGCACGACAACCTGCATCGCCGTATGCGCCCCCACCTGCGCGGTTAGACCCTTCAGTGGTTCGAGGTTGGTGCAAGCTACCTGATGGACGTAAAGCAAAAAATATTTCCACGTTTCCGCTTAGACCCTTTAGTGATTAGATGATTAGAGGCTGCCGCAGGCTACTTGATGGACCCAAAGCAGAGAATAGTAGACAGGGTGTCCTACTGGCAGGGTCCACAGCTGCGGTACACCAAACACAGGCATAGCCTGAAACACGAGTAGTGCCTCGACAGTTCGACAACGGGCTCTACAGTCAACAGCCGTCGTAGTCAAGCTGCACATCATAATGTCACGTGAACAATCAGATGCTCCGATGAAATAGAGCGGCTGACGAGGGGCTGCTGGGGCTGCTTGGGCTGGGCTGTGGGGCTGGGGCTGGGCTGGGGCTGGGCTGGGGCTGGGCTGGCGACTGGGCTGGGGCTTGGATGGTGGCTTGGAATTGAGCTGGAATCTCTTCCCACACATTTAATGAAAAACTCGAAAGTTAATGAAAATGCAAATCGAAGCGAAATTACACAATTTCTAATTATCCTGCTGTTGAGGCTTTATATAGGGTTTGGGGTTTAGGGTGCAAGGTTTAGGGTTTAGGGTTCAGGGAGACGTCTGGGCCAAGAGGGGCACAAAAGAAAATTCAGGGGCCTAAATAATTACCAATACTATTTTGAGGGGTTTCTTAGTACAGCTAGAGATAATTATAATATTCTACTCATTAAGGCGTACGGGAGGGCCCTCATCTCTGCTGTGTGGGCTTCCTATCAATTCAGGCTTCGGGTAGAGGGCCTCGAATTTTGTGGTGGTTTGGGGGGGCTCAAGGGGATTGGGGTTCAGGATTATGGGTTCGGGTCCGTTTGGTGCGTTTGGGGTTCGTGTCGAAGGCCTAGTCGTTAGGGCCACGTGCTGAGACAGTCGTGATAGCTTCAATTATTCCCGGCCGGTTCTTGCTAAGGAGCTGGACGTAAGAGACACCAAGGAAACCACCTCGGGTACAATACCCCTATTACTGCAATTTTAGTGAGATATACTCCTTGACACACACCCAGAGCTCCGAGTTGAAGACCTACATCTTTCGGCACCATTCGGGTTGATGCTTCAGCAGTTGGCATGGCGGACATGCCCAATACTGACAGTCATCATTAACGCCACAAACAGCAACATCATCATCATCATCATCATCATCATCATCATCGGCATGATCAACACAGTTTTCATAGCACACGTCATAATTACAATGGTATTGCTGGTATCATAGAAACGGTCACGACTGCATCAAAAGCAGCATGAGGCTTGAAAGGCCAGCACAGAACCTCGAAGCGGGAACTTGAAGATCGCAGAACCGAATACAGGGGCAGTGAGAATTCGCACAGGGTGCTGGAGCGCATTACAGCATCTCTATATCGAGCGGGTACAGGGGCAAACACTGTTGCTCATCATTCACTTCTCTACCCCATTCCGCGCTGATTAGGGGGTCGCGTGCATGCCATTAGGAAAAAGACGAAACCCTGAAGACACAAAACGGAAAAGATAACAAACATTGGGCTGCCGGGAATCCCTCGACGCCGTGCGTCCCGCTCGTGATGACCATCACGCCTTGTCGCCAGCTTGCTTGGAGAAACAAGCTTTCAGTGCAGTTTAGGGTTTTAGGGTTTTACGGTTTTTCGGGCTTTAGGGCTTTAGGGCTTCAGGGTTTTAGGTTTTTTGTGGTGTTGGGGCAACGACAGCCTATCATCACTTCCTCACCCACCGAGTGCCCCACCTTTCCCAGGCTTGCGTAGGATGGCGATGTCGATGGTGTACCTGAGTTTCGGGGAATGTGTGGAGCTGCGTCTAGGATGCTTGGGATATACACAATAATAGTCATAGTACACTATAATGGGCATAATGTACTGTAATAGTCATAATATACTGTACTAGCTATAATATATTTTATGAACTTCATGCAACGGAAGCAGGGAAGCCTGTTGGGCGTTCAGTCATCGAGCGCCCCAAAAAACAACAGTGGCCTCAGGGTAAGAAACTACGCGAACCAGATTCTACTTCTCTCATATTGGACCTTAAGACTTCAATCAGGAACTTTTGAATACACGATGGTATAGTCATACGGGGGCTATGAGCTTTTGGGTACATGATAGCATACGCATAACAATACTCATAAAGGGTGCTACGAGGCTACTTGGAGGATCGTGGGACTTAGTAAGTAAGGTTATAAGTACCTTAAGTGGGGTTATAAGTATAGTTACCCTAGTTATAACCCTAGTTACTAAGTCCCATGATCCTTTAAGTACTCTTAGTCTTCGTTCCAACCCGGCTCCCTGGTTGCGGCTCGAACCGGGGGATTCTCCGATCATGTCAAACCCGAAACCCTCACATCCAAGGATAACCCTGGGGTTCAGGGTTTTGGAGTTTAGGGTAGGGTTTGAGGCTTTCGGGTTTAGAGTTTAGGGTTTAGGGCTTTAGGCTTTCGGCTTTAGAGTTTAGGGTTCAGGGTTTTAGGCTTTAGGGTTTAGGGTCTAGCGAACATCTTTCCAATCCTTGAATCCCTGAACCCCTAAATTGTATCAGCCCTGCACCCTCTTTCCTGAATCCGACAACAGAACTTCACGAATGTGCTCAAGCAAAGCTCGCAAGGAATCGGGCGGGGAATTAAGGCTTTGGGAATGTAAGGCTCTGCGGGATTGAGGGCCTTGAGGATCCAGGAATATAGGATTTACGGATTTCGGATTCTGGGTTTAATCTTCTTAGAAAGTAGGTCCCCTAATTTAGGGCCCTATACTACTAAGGGTACTTTATAAGAACCCCCGTTTAAGGCATGTTTAGGGTTTAGGGTTAGAGCTGGACATCGTACCAAGTGGCCTGCCCTCCTCGTCTTCGGCCACCGGCAGGGAGTGCCTCTGCGCTACGAACTGCGCGTTGCACTCTCATCTGGCTGGTTATCAGGAATTGTGGTCCCTGTTTGGGTACCCTAAGTAAAGTTAGTACAGGCCTTGCCCAGTTTGGGGTATTACATCACCGTAGACCTATATAGCCATATAAATCACAACTGATAGCTCATTATCCTTAAAATACTCTATCTCATTCTATTTATCAGGTGATGTAACATCCTAAACTGGGCAAGGTTAGGTTTATTCATTTTATGGGGAATAGTATGGGGCGTTTGGGTGGGGCATTCAATAATTCTTTAATTATATATTATTAAATTATTATTATTGGTTGAACATTTATTGCTTTAAGTGTTCGCCGTATTCTTTTTCCATTTTTTGAATACTTGTATTCATCCATTTAACAGCATGTTTTGGTTTGCGTCTAAATATTTGGTGTTCGGGCTTCCTCCATTCTGACATAGTGTTTCTATATGCTCAATCAATCCTGAATATTTTTAATTAACTGTTTATCTTCTTGAATTTTACCCACTAAAAAAGAAATATCACTCCTAATATTACAAACATCTTCGTTCTCCAATATACCTTCGTATTTGTTCAACAACTTTATTAACTTATTTAATCTCATTCAAAAAATCGGTTTCATTCATCTTTATTTGGTATATCCTTTTGATGTACTTCAACTGCGTCTTATAAGTTTTCAGATTTGTACAATCCATTTCCACTATAATATATTGAGCTGTTATTTCTTTAAGTGCTTTTTCTTAAGAAATCGGCCTTAATATTTTCAATAATAATCTAATCTTATTAGTAAATTATCATTGGTCAATAATGATGAACTTTAACCATTCGATTAATTCATAGAAGACATGTCTTTTATTCAAATATGTTGCTATCATGGAAAATATTCTTAAATAATGATACAAGATCTTTAAGTTCTATATCATCATGGTCATATCTGTTTTTATTATTATATGTATCAATTAATAGTTGTCTCAACTCTTTCACCTTGTCCTCATTAAAGTAATGGTCATACACGTCTTCAAATTTATCGTGTACTTGTTTATCATATAATTCAGTGTACTTAGCATAAAAGTCATGTTCATACTCTTCCGCCTCATCTTCATAAGCATTAGAGAAAGAGGGTGCGTCGGAATACGGGCCCGTGTTATTCGAGTAAAACAGCTGTTTTTTGTATTTCACCATGTAGTCTGAAATTCTATCTTGAAATTTGCAAATCTCACCTTGCTAATATTTTTGGCTGCCAAACCCAGCCAGCCGTACAAAGACATTGTGTTACCCAGAGAATGTGAAGATAAGATTTGTTGGACTGATTCCTGAACACCTGAAGATTCAACAGGATGGAGTTGATGGCGAACCTGAAAACTTTGCCGTGATCACACAGCCTGGTTCTCTTGCAGAATCTCGCGCAGCACTTGCAGACAGGACTTCACCACTAAACATCCGGTATTTGTGGAGAATCTTCACGAAGTAACGGCACTCCATGGCTCGTCGAATCAATCCACTACCCCATACTACTCCCCATAAAATGAACACGAAAGTTTTAGTGTTGGTAAAAACGAATCAACCTAACCTTGCCCATTTCGGGATGTTACATCACCTGATGAATAGGATGAGCTAGAGTATTTTATGGATAATGAGCTACTAGTTGTGATTTACATGGTAATTATGTTCACGGTGATGTAACTACCCAAACTGGGCGACCCCATTACCTTGTCCATTTTGGAAAATTGCACCTCATTTTCTATATGGTAAAGTGTTTTAGGGTATTATGGCTATGATTTGGGCCGTGGTGGTGCAATTACTCAAAATGGGCAAGGCCTTCCCTGACGAATAATAGGTGCCGTATTCGAATAGGGACCCAAAAAGGGACCAAAATTTTGATAACCACCCATCTGTCTTTGGGCAACAATCAAGCAGGCCAAAAGGAGCACACAGGCCGTAAGCACTGCATGGTTTCCTTGGTCTGCCGTCCCCACACTCTCGCTCAGCAATGCGAAAGCCTCGTCCTGCTGGAACTTCGAAACGCCCTCTCCAACCCTGAAACCCCAATTGATAAGGCCCACCAAAACAACATCTCGTCGCAAAGACTTCCCGGATGCTCCAGAGCTCGTTCATGCAAGGAGCATTTCGGCTTTCAACTCCCCGGCCGCGGCGAGGAACTTGCCTCTTGCCTATCCCACCGGAAGCTGTTCGTCTTTTTGTCGGGACATCGGCGTTAAGGTTAAAGGGTTCAGGGTTAAGGGGTTTAGGAACTCTAGGGTTTGGGTTTCGGGCTCGGTTCTTTGGGGCTGTGTAGGTTTAGCAGAGTTCAGGTGTGGGGTTCTCTCTAGCTGGATCGGCCTTGGTAGCCTTCTCATCCTATAACGGGGCTCGATGATCCCAGAAATCTAAACCTTACATCTTACTTAAAGGATCATGGGACTTAGTAACTAGGGTTATAATTACGATAACTATACTTATAGCCCCAATGAGGATACTTATAACCTTACTTACTAAGTCCCATGATCCTCCAAGTATGCACTTGAAACTCTGAGCCGCCACCTTTAAATAGAGCGTTCAACCAAAGACCCTGCCCAAACCCTGAACCCGAAACAGGAAACTCTGCACCGTTCAAGGCAACAAGGGGGATGACCAAGACCTCTCATAGAAAGTCTTGGGATCTCCTCAACCCTCCAACCCGCCATCCTCAAATCCCCAGATACCCACTTCAGTTTGAAGCCTCAACAAGACCACCAATTGGGGCTGCCCAGGCCTCTTCATAAGACTCCGAGAAGCACAAGCCCACATCACCGGATGTCATCGCGGCAGCGGGCGGAGCAAAACAAACAGATCGACGGTTTTTCTTATGGTGTGATATTATGGTCGAGTCAAAGGCGTTGGAACTTGCAGGTTTGGGGTCCTGGGTAGGTTTAGGGTTTAGACTCTTGCTCTTACGGCTTAGGTTCAGGGTTCACAATACTGCGTGCCCTGTGTGATGATCCATAGTAAAGAAAGAACTCCATATGCCAAAATACTTGGAGTAACGCGAACTTTTGTCCATTCACAAAATGTCCACACTTTTACTGTCTACATTTAGCCGCATTGGCAAAGACGAGCACAGCTGCTGTCGCTTTCCCAGAAAGCCCAACGCTCCTCAATGAAGACATTGCTTTGAGTGCGAATCGGATGCCTCATGCCGCTCCAGGGCATGTTACTGCAGTGGCACGGGTCTCAACAACTTGAATAGTGCTTGGCATGTCTCATACTAAATTGATGTATATAGGAATCAAAAAGGCAGCAAGAGTGGCATAATCATGAGTTATGCAGACCGCTATCTTCATTGCCAGGACAAGACTTGGCTCGGGAGGTGCATGGGCTTGAGACGTCCGGGCGTATTTAGCACTTCGGTCACAAGGGAACCAAAACAAAAGAAAACCCTAAGCGCTCTCCCCTACCCGAAACCTGGTAGCACCGACACAGCTTGAGACCGGGGAATCATACACAAGTGGCGGAAACGAAGAGAAGTTCAAAAAGAATTTCTACAGGTGGTGACCGGCACAGCCCTGACCTCCTAAACTCTAAACCCTAAACCCTAAACCCTAAACCCCACAAGCAAAGAAAGAACCATCAGCCCTGAACCCCACCATCCCAAACCCAACCCTCATCTGAGTGCCGCTCCCCTTGCATCACATTCGGAGCGGGCCCTGGCTTAGAGTTTTTGTTGGGGGGTTTAGGGTTTAGGGTTCATCAGGCGATAGCTTTCAAGGTGCAGGTTTAAAGCTTAAGGGTTTTTCATGAGGGATGTATGGCTGTTTTGAGGGCTCCTAGACGAGTGCAGGGTTTAGGGTTAGGTTTGAGGCGGGGGTTCAGGGTTTAGGGCTTTGGAGGCCTTGGGGTTTCAGGCCTGTACAACGCTGTCTGCTGAGACACGTCAGGTTGAATTCAAGGTGCTTCAACTTCTCCCCTAAACCCTAAACCCTAAACCCCAAAAACCCCACCCCTCTAAAACCTAAACCCGGAACCTTCTCGGACGGGCCTGTGGCTGCCTGTGCCGCCATGGCTGCAACAGCGGGATCCAAGGCCTGGGCTGTGGCAAGAAAAAAGGGGAGGGAGCGAGAAGGGTCAGACTGGCAGTTTACGGTTCAGGGTTTGGGGGTTGGGATTTGAAAGTGCAGTGTGGGGCTTGCTTAGGGCTCAGGGCTTGGGTTTAGGGTTTGGGGCCTACTGTTTGGGGTCTGTCGGTTTGGGTTTTTCGGCTTCTGTGTACTGCACAGGCCACACGAAACCGCTTTCCAAAGCATCGGTAAACTGTGCAGTGCAAGCCACAACCGTCTTGCAGAGTATCTGTAACAGCATCTGTATACTGCGCAGGCCACAGGAAACTGCCCACCAACGTATTTGCAATAGCATCCGTATACTGTGCAGGCCACACGAAACCACCTTCCAGAGCATCTGTAAGATCATCTGTGTACTGTGCAGACCAGACCGCACGAAACCGCTTTCCAAAGCATCGGTAACCGCGGCAGGCCACACGAAACCGCCTTTCAGAGCATCAAGTGCTGTGAGGTCTGGAGCGGAAACCCTGAAGCCACTCGTGTGCTGACTCCGAAGAACAACTTCACTGAAGGCAAGCCGAAGGGGCGGGGTAAGGCAGCGGATAAGGCCAGACGCCTGCGGTGGCGGGAGGCTCAAAGAACCCAGGGCCCTGAATCGACATGCCCAAACTCTACCTGGAAGTACTGTGCACGAGACTTAACGCAGACATTGGAACAGTGGAAGAAGCGAAAATTGCCATGGGCCTAGCGGGAGCATATCTTTCACGCATACACGCTGCCGTCCCTCGACCCAACATCCTCTTCTAGCAGCACCATATGGGTAGTTCTCTACCTTAGCGCCCCTTTTTAGGTCCCCAAAATAGTACGTTGCCCATGGGTCTTCTAGATAGTAAAACAGCTTCCCTGACATGCTCCTAAGACTCGGACCTCATGCACGGAGTGATACTACATAACAACCTGGTATATACCAACACAGTAGAGCTGGTCACCGTCATAAACCGCCTCACTCAAACTGCAGACTCATCGCTGCACTGGATCCTACGTCCCAGGCCTGAACCCTTCAACCGCCAAGCAGAAATCCCGTGCTGTGCATTAGGGTTTAGGGTTTAGGATAGGGTTTAGGGTTTAGGGTTTAGGGTTTAGGGTTTAGGGTTTAGGGTTTAGGGTTTAGGGTTTAGGGTTTGGGGTTTAATGCTTGCTTTGAACCCGCTCTGAAGCCTGGCGCCATGCTTCCCAGATGGGGAGGTGGCAACGCCGGATTGGGCGGAAAGCCCTGCAAGGAGATCCGATGTCGAGCTGCGAAGGCTTCGGGCTGCAGAAGGGTGGAGGGCGTATATACCCATTATATACCCATAAAATAGCCATTATATACCCATAATATAGCCATTATATACCCATTAAAAAGCCCATTATAGGGTAGTGGTCCCCATTAAGGGGGTATGGGGCTGAAAGCAAGCTTCCCAAACCAAAAGCTCAAAGCTAAGGGCCCACGAGAGTGCCGTGCCTTTCGATGCCGCTGCTTGGGTAAAGGCGATTGATCGGACAGGAATGTCAGCCCGGAGATTCTCCAACCAGAAGCCCAAGCCCCAAACCCAAAGTCCCAAGCATGAAACCCCAAAACCCCAAGGTAAGGTCAAAGCCTCGTGTTGAGACACATGGGCATGAAAGGCCGTTCAACCGTTTCGCTGATGTGACATAGGTGTGAAATTATACGTGAGCACTTTGCAAACCCAGAGACTCCAATACCCCTTAATTAAGGAATATACCTTAAATTATACTAGGATCCCTAATATGATTTTAGAAATATTCCTCAATTAAGGATTATTGGAACCAAGGGAAAAGGACCGCCTGCGCTGGATGCCCCCAGGGATGGGGCCATGGTCCGGGCGGCAGGCCCGGATAGTAGCCTGGGGAGGGCCTTGGTGGAGCACGACGGCTTTAGGGTTTAGGGTTTAAGGTTTCGGATTTAGGGTTTCGGGTTTGGGGTTTGGGCTTTGGGTTTCCGGTTTAGGGTTTGGGGCTACAGGGCTACAGTAAACCCCATAAAGTTGGAAACCTGATTCAGGCCAAGTAGTGCTGGGATTCCCCATACATCACTCTTAAGGGTCTAAGGCGATTGGGTTTCCAACTTTTGGGCTTCATTTTTTTAGGGTGACAGGGTGTCGGGCTCGGGGTGACACCCTGCCCTCTAAATGTCGCTCCGCTTGCAACCCGCATATTCTAGAATCTAGAAGATCGGGTCAAGCCAAGGCACACCGACGGCAAAAGCGGATGACCGAGCTGTGCCGCGGCCGCAGCGGCTGCAACCCTGAGGCGGTGGCTGCATTTTCAGGTTTCTTAAACTGAGCGTCTCCTTCTTATGCTAGAAGGTCAGGCTGCTCTCAGGAGCGTTTCTGTCTAGGCAGGACGATCTCCTTATCTCGATGTCTTTGCGAACAACTGCCTTAATTTGGGGGTCCTTATGATAAGGATCCTACTATTTAGTGGTACTACATTAGGGTCCCCTATTTGTGGAAACTCTGGTTCATGAATGCAGTAGCATCAGGATTACCAGCACTAGCCGTCACTGGCATGTCTATCCCGATCGTCAGCACCATCCTCACTTCCAAACGAACCTGTCACCCCGTCAGTCGCACGCCTTTATGGGAGTTTCCGAAAATAGGCGATCATAATGTAGTACCCCCAAATAGTAGGATCCGTATTACAAGGATCCAAAAATAAGGTACCCCTAACTTTCGGAAACTCCCAACATTGAAAGACGAAGAAATAAGGAGGGGAGCTTCCAATCCAAGGGGCCTCGTCTTGACTATGAGAACCTACTATAAGGGCCTAAATAATTACCCACACTATTTTGGGATAGCATAATGGGCCCCAAAACCCTATTCTGATTATTAAGGCCCCTGTATTACTAGACGACAAGCAATCACCAAGTGGAGACCAGAGCTTAAAAGGTGTTGGGAGCTTGTCAAAGGTGTGAGAGGGGTTTGGGATGTTAGCCACGGTGGCCCGAGCTCCTTCCAGTGGTGTGGCGGAGCAGGCAGATCGCTCGGGTGGTAGGTTTCCTTCTAGTTTCTTTCGCCATGGGCATCTTGCACCGTTTATTGTCGACGCAGGTCATTTGCTTGACGAGCTGCGGTGGCACTAAGGCTTTCGTGGTTCAAACACTGAGGGAGAGGACATGTGGTCATTCAGCATGGCGGTTTTCGGTTCTCGCTACGTGGATCTTCTTGCCTTTTGGGATGACTTGCATCCCATCTTGCTGTGCTGTATCAGGGTCAACATTTGTCGGGAGAAGGCCTGCAACCTGCAGCTTACTGGAGGTCCTATTGCTGCACTTCCTGTTTCAGTTCCATCTGGGGCATGGCCCATGGGGACGGCTGGTCGGCCCATACGGCACATGTGGCTAGTTTTTGTTGCTTGCTCAGTGGTTGGTCGTCTCTCTCTCTTCGTGGACACTGTCCGGCTCAACTTCGATTTCCTCGCTTCCCAAGATGGCATCCTTTTCCGACAGGACGATGGGGAGTTCTTCGTTATCATGTGCTTGTCCAGGCTACATCCTCGGCGTTGCAGTGCGCACTTCTCGGTGGCCAGTACTGCTTTTGATGCCACCATGAACTTTTCGAACTTCAAGTGGTTCGTTTCTTCTGCTGCACAGGTTGTGTCAATGAGGTATATTGCGCGATGCGGTCTGCCCCTGTAGTACCCTTCCTGCGCAAGTGCTTTGTGCTTGCCTTTCCGCTGTCCAGGCACCACCAATGAAGTGAGC